TCGACAACACTCGTACAGCATTGATCCATGGAGGGGAGGCACTGCTTTCTGAGGGAGTCTTACATACTAAAACAACAATGCATCATCGTCAGGAGCGCAGTTTCACTCTGAGCGGCTCTGCAACGGAACTCCAGCAGCACGGTTTTGAGGAGCAGCTAGCCGCTAGCGGTGGTCATTCTAAGCATCAGCAAATTGCAGTATCTGCCACAGGGCGAAAATCAGCGTCTGTGCAGTCAGGAGGCACTGCGGCGCAGATGATCCAGACAGCAGACGGCGGTGAGAAGCAGCAGCAGCAACAACAGCGGCCATCTGCTGAGGCAGTCATCAGTCGTTTGCTGTGCACGTTGAACTTGCTGAAGATGAGCAATCCAGAGTGGCATCAGGCAGCGGTCCGTCGTCTTCAGGATCTTGAGGAAGAACTGCGCACTGCCGGTGTTTCATGTCCTCCGGATAGTCTGGTGTCCAGTGCTGTCACAAAAGCACTGGCTGCAGCCACATCGCCGAAGACGGATGTTCAAATTCGGGTTAATTCGTCGCGACACAGTACTACCACGAAATCTGTTTTCGAAACAGAGACACCGGGAATGGAGGGTTTGGATCCACACACTGTGCAGCGCCTGCAGCAGCAGCTGATCTCCAATATGAGTCAGATTCATTCACTATTGCTTGTGCTTCAACATAATTTCATATTTTTTCGCTTCTTGATTTTGCATGCGTGTACTAATGCTGTGTTTTCTAACACATGTTGTAAATACCACCTTATTGTGCGTTTGCTCCTTAACCGGCCATTTCAGGCGTGCCAGCTGCGCCACAGCCAGCGCCTTCCGCCGAACCAGCCGCTCCAGCCGGTAAATTTACTTCTTTTTCCCTTTGGAGAATCTTTTCAAACTAAATGTGTCATTTCTCCGAGTGCTATTTTAGCGTTCTGTTGAAGCTAGCGGAAATCCGAGAACAAGAACTGTTTAGCCGTGTTTTTGTGGCAGAGTTTCCTTGTTGTAAGCGGAGTTTCTTCTGCAACTAAAACTGTTGTGCCTTGCTCATTGGGAGAGTGAAGCACGACGGAAGTTTTCTTTTAATTCGTTTAAAGAATGGTAGGAGATTGCTTTGCTGAATGAGTCTATTTTTTTTCGCGCAGTAGAGTTTTTTATCCCAAAAGAGGATTTTCACGGGGACCAAAGCACTGTTCGGAGTGCTGCTTTTAGTTTTGATAGAAAATTTCATCACTGAATTAGTAATCTCCGGAATTTTCGATGTTATAATCCACTTTTTTATTTTGTGCTTCAAGACTGCTATTTTTTAGTGACTGACCAAAAGCAGGAAAGCATGGCAGAAGGCTTTACAAGTGAAGACGGGTCTGTAGTTGTATCAAAGAAGATGACGCGCGTTGTGACTACAACAAGAACGACACTGCCAGGTCTGCCTTTACGTCATATTCGATCAAATTTTCCTGTAGCAAGAAGCATTGTCGCTATCAGAATTTTGCACCATGTGAGCTGCCTAGTTTCTGAATGAAGAGAAGATAACAAAGCCAAAAAAAAGTAGCATTCACTGTGCAGGAAAGGCTGGAATATTTATCTGTTAATGTTTGGGACTAAGCTGCCTGCTTGCTAGCACGGATCCCATTTCACTGGATCTGCTACTCTTGGCTGTTATGCACAGCAGCTGTTCTGAACACCCACACCCACACACACACACACACACACACACACACACACACACACACACGCCTATGGGGAATGCTTAATTACGTTGTTACACATTGCCCATCCCGTAACTTAGTCTTCTAGTGCGGCTGATGTTCCTTCTCTCCCACCGGACGTGCGTGCATAGTTTTCTAAAAATTTATTGTTTTTAACTGCTTACAGTATCTGGCTAAATTGATGCATGTAACTGCGGAACTTGCATGAAATGGAGAAACTCTCTGGTACACACGTAATGGGCATGTTGGCTAACTGATTCTGGGAAGAGCAGCAGAGACTCGGTTGCTCAGTTCTTTAGACCAAAAATAGGGAATCTGAAGTTAGTTCATTTGTTGGTTGTGAATGCATTAAGGACCCATTCGACGAATACTTACCATCCTACACTTGCAGTAATAACCCGCATTTGAATGCTTTTTATCAAGTGTGATAGTAAGAGCAGATGAATGGATTGGTTCGTGATAGTGGGATGGAGCTGCAGATTGATCCAGACTTGGCTGAGTAATGTGATTAGAATATACAATAACTGGTGTGAAATGTGTTGCAGGAGAAACGACAGAAGCGAATGCTGGTGAGTAGTAAATGATGAAAAAATTAAGTCAAGAAGTGTTGCAAGCAGTGATTCACTGATACTGCTGCTGCTGCTGCTGTTGCTATCGCCGCTGCTGCTACCATTGCATGATTGCACCCTTTTTGTTGTGCTTTCCTGAACCTCTTTTCCTTTCCTTTTGTTCTGTGATGCTGTTACCGTTGTCAGTACCGCTTTC